AGAGAGAGAGAGAGAGAGAGAGAGAGAGAGAGAGAGAGAGAGAGAGAGAGAGCGCGAGAGAGAGAGAGAGAGAGAGCGAGAGAGAAAAAGAGAGAGAGCGAGAGAGAGAGCGCGAGAGAAAAAGAGAGAGAGAGAGAGAGAGAGAATGATAATTTAATGCTCTTTATTACAAATTCACAAAAACACAGTTTACAAAATATAAATCATCACATAGAAAAAATAGAAATTTACAGGAAATTTGTGAAAATTAACTCATCTTCAAACACGGAACACAAAACTGCTTTGCTACACCATTTTAGTTCAAAAGACATAAGATCATCCATAGACTTGTAGAAATTAAAATCAATCAGCACTCTAGACTTTACAAGAGTTGAAAACAAGACAGTAACATTTTGTCCAGGTTTCTGTTCGATCCTATTTTTCCTACTTGAGTAAATGGCCAGCTTAGCTTGACCCAAAATAAAATTCAGTAACTGACAATCAACACGTCTCTTCTGCACATACTTGATACCCAAAATAAACGTTTCCTTGGAAAATATATCATTAAAACAGTCAAAAAGATTTCCTAATACAGAAAATAAGGACTTTAGTCTAGAACACTCCATAAAAGCATGAAAGACAGTTTCTCTATTAAAACAAAAAGGGCATTCAGAGCTTACTTCAGGATTTAAAATAAAAGCATTGACAGCAATTGCTCCATGGAGAACCCTCCACTGTATGTCCCCTACTCGCTTTGTTAACGGTGGCTTATACAAAACTCTCCATTCAGCTTTAACATTGTCATCAAGTTTAAAATATGAACGCCACGGTGTATCCACCTTACTATCTAAAATTTTCTTATTAAAAACCAAAACACACATTTTGTACAACATTTTCCCCGTGACTGAAAAGAAATCCACACACAAAGATTTCCCAGCTCTTAAAAACAGACCCACACAATCACCTAATTTGGGTGACAAGTATATGGTCGGAAAAGGGTCCTCAGCATTAGGAGCCATTACTCCTGTACAGTAGTCTGTCAATAATTGTCTCTCCTCATTTGTAAGAGCAGATTTCCACTTTCCCATCAGTTGAGCAATTATACGAGTTGAAACAACACCTAGATGGGAAGCTACTTGTTCAGTGTTCGAGAAGTTAGGACCAGCCACATCTATAAGGAGACCAAGGGTGGTGCTCCTGGATTTACAAAGCAATGTATTAAGTCCAGGAAAATTGTGGTCAACAGTGGAAATATCCAATCGGGCCCCATGTACTATAGGTTCATTTAGCAACCAAAAAAGTGATTCCATATATGGTGTCCTTTGAAGATTAAAAAGACTCCATACTTTAAAAAGATTGCGATAAAAAATTGGCATTCTGAGAGTATCCAGTTCCAGAGGGTCTAACAAGAAAAGAGATTTGTCCATCTGTAGGCCTCCGAGACTCCGTAAAATAACACATGCAGCAGCGCTCCAACCAAAGTCACTCGATCCCAAAAGAAGTCTTTGTATAAACTGCAACCGAAAAGCTGCTGTTCTGCTTTGCAAGTTTATTAGCCCTTGTCCACCTTCTTCTTTAGACAGGAATAAGATGCTCCGAGTAATCCAGTGTAATTTATCCCAAAAAAAGTCCACTAATAAAGCTTGTATTTCAGTCATCAGATTTAAAGGTGGATCTATACAGGCCAGTTTATGCCAGAGAGAGGATGCAATCAAGTTGTTGATAATTAAAGTGCGCCCTTTGTAGGACATGTTTGGGACCAACCATTTCCATTTGTCTAATCGACCTTTAACCTTTTCAACAATTCCTTCCCAGTTTTTCCGTACAGTAACCTCATCTCCTAAATAAACCCCCCAATATTTAAAACCCCCTTTACTCCATAGCAACCCATCAGGAAGACTTGGCTTCTCTCCCGTCCCCTTTCCACACATCAACGCTTCGCTTTTGTTCCAATTTACCTTAGCAGAAGATAAAACTTTAAAATCT